ATTTACAATGCAATAAAATTCTCATAATTTTTTGTATTTCTAGTTAATTATATCTGATTGATAAATTTTATTAATTATTATAAAATACGATAAAATTGAAGTAATAAGGAAATAATAATATTAAAATGAGAATAGATATGGTTGACCGTGTCAACTTTGTGGTACTCGTACGATAATAAACGATTTTAAATGTATATTTAAAATCGTAAGAGATTATACAGTTTCATACAACCTCTTGCATTTTAAGTATAGTGCCATTTTATAGATATATGATAATTACCATATAAACTCACACCATCTAAAACAGTTATACTGAAAATTAGGGCCAAATTTATTTGTTCAAAATTTCAAGTTTGTAGCTTTAATAGTTACTGAGCTATGAACAAACAGCTTATGGGGTTGTATGGCAACTACTACAAGTAATTGAGAACTAACTAACTAACAATATATTTGCTTGCGCGAATTTTCGAAACTATGCGCAGAATAATTTCTGAGATATCGTCAGATAACTTTTCGAAATGTATGGCAGCTGTCACAAGCTTTCTTAAGATCTCAACAACTTTTAATAAATATAGCTGCCATGTCTGAAAAGTAAATAATTTATTTACTTTTCAGACTATTCTTTATGAAAAACAATTTTGAAATAAAATTTGACGATTCTTCATGAAACATAACTCAAACCCATGAAGATTTTTCTCGCCATGACTTACGGTGGTACGCATAATTTTTTCTTTCCCGCCGTAATTTGTGTGTCATGAAAAAAGTTATGTTCGACTTAATTTGTGATCAATAATTCTATAGCCATTATGCGATCAGTCCTTTAAAGTTCGCTGTTAATCAACAATTTAATTTACCTGTTAGGTGGTAGCTTTAATTTAGCTTTAAAAATTGAGTTAATATTCAAATTTTCTTTATTCCCGAACAATTTATTAGTGGTTGTTAGTTGTAAATGTTTAACTAAATTAAAAAAAAAAAGAAATTTATATTTATTTAATGCTGTAGCTTAATGGATACTAATTGGCTGCATAGGGAACGATGCCAGCTATAAACATAAAAATCAAGCTGTGCCAAAAGAGAAACATAAAAAATGTTGCGCTATCGATAATATTTTTACCGGTCAAATTTAACGTTTTCGACAATAAAAAACGGTTAACAAGAGTAGTTCGCTTTGAACGAACGATTTACAATATTATCGTTCGATAAATTTACAAGATTGTCGAACTGTAAATATTTACAAAGCCGAAAGAACACATGGCAACACTATTAATATATCAATTTGCTTGAAAGTTACAATAATAGGGTGTTGACTACAAAGCAAAAAATTTCTTTAACGAGTTAAATAAATAACAATAGTTTATTGACACTGTTTTGACAACACAACAAATCTTTTATTTAAAACAGTATTACCAATCAATTAGAAAACAGTTTCAAAAATTAAAAGGAAATCGTTAATCATAAGGGTAATCCCACTGAACCGTACTGATTTTAATTAAAAGAAAATAAGACACACTCAAAAAAAAAGTTTTAAAACGAGTTTTACGCTTTCTACAAAGAATCCAAGTAAACATGAGCGGAAATGTTCAATTTTATTCCATAAGAAATAAAATTTATTAATTATTTATAAATTTTTTTTGTGTTTCCCCCAATCTCTTAATATAGTTTGTGAACATTGCTTCTAAAATTATTGGAAAAAGCGGGAGCTTTTAATAACACATAACATATTACAGTTAATAAAAGTTTTACACAAAACTAAATGCAATTTCTACACTTTTAATTTCATTTAAATTAAAAATCACAGTAGGTTTGTTTTTTTTTCAAATAAGATTAATTTATAATTTATGCGGTTCTAAATAAAATAACATATCTGACTACTTACATAGGTAAAAATTTTAAAAGTTACTCATTCAATTAGAATAATTTTTGGTTTTGGTAGCAAAATACAAGACATGAGATAGATTTTAAAAGTGGGAATTTTTGGTAATAATAAAAATTATTTAAATTGTATTTTGGATGGTCATGTCACATTGTGAATAAAAATAAGAGAGAAAAAAAGTTTTTATAGTGAATAATAGAGCATTACTGCTAAATTAAAGAAATTCCAATCACGTAATATCGATGTACATATGTATGTATGTATTATATTAATACCATTAATAAAATATTCATCAACACATACAACATGTTGCGTACAATGTAAAAGTAAATGTAAAAATCTCTTTTTTATTGACAAGAACATTATTGTCGCATTTTATATGCAAATGTCATTTATAATGACATATTACATTTTTTATTGTAAATATATTAATGATATTTTAATTTTAATGATATTTACAATAAATCAAAACTTGAGTGATCTATCAAACTATTTTCTATAATTATCATATTGTCTATAATTAATAGCTTTTAGTGTCATAATACCCGTATGAAGGAATATTGAAAGAGTGTTATAAATTTATCCCTTTCGTTTGTAACGTTTTTTATCAGCGTCGAATTCTAAGCCAATTCAGTTAAATATCCGTTTAATTTCAGTTAAATATCCGTTTCCGAGCGATAACTTAAAAACGAATTGAAAAGCTACAATAACCAAAATAAACGAATTAACTACTACAACCCAAAACACTTAAAAATATTCTTACACGAAACTATTTGAGTTGGATTCGATGGAGTAACTCCAAAAATATTTTACCAGCTTAAAATTGAATTACAAGAAATTCTTGCAATAGCTGCAACTCCAAAAATAATTTAGTCCTATCTTCAAAAATATAGAAGCAAAGTGTTGAAATATACCAAGTTTAGTGACAGAGCCACAATTTCAAACAGAAATATTATGAAAGTTTTCCGATATTCTACACTCTTGCGAGATATCATATTACTTTTCTGTATGGGTATCACAAAGTTGACAAGGTCAACTCCATCTTCATTTTATCTAGTACTTGATAATGTCATTCTCAAAAACAGTCAGTAACATTCATTCAAAAATTACAAATTAAAATTTATTTTGCTTTGCCACATTTATTTAATCGGCTTCATTTAGAATTACGCTAACATTGTAGGCACATCTTGTACTCCTTTTGGCGTTGTGTTGAGCTCTGGTCCGCAAAATCAGGAAAACGTTGGGTAACTTAATACTCTCTGGTGCAGGCATCACAACAAGTTGCTTGAGTTTATCAGGGGGGTTCCTAAGGATAATTTTAGACTGTCGCGGTGCGTTACCACATCCATATACAATCTACAATATTGCACGCAACTTTGAAATGATATTTCTGATTTCCGGCTCAGATAGTTATTAGACGTATTACATGTGAAGTACGCATGATATTTTATTGAACATATAAAGGCCATAATTTGCTATGATTATGAAGTTATGATTTACTTTAACTGATTTTTTAAAAAAATAATAGTTAATAAATCTATATTGAGACGGTTATAAATCTCTACTGAAATTATACGAGTATAGGGCATTGATAAGTTTATTTAAAAGAGTTGCACAATTATGCAACCATCGTACGCATTCATGGATAGGTCAAATCACATTAACTCGTTAAACCTATCTTATTTAAAATCAAGCTCATAATGTCACCCGCAACCATGCCCAAAAAAATATTTATATGGAAAATATTTAAATGGCAAAGCCTAGGTCAGTTTTCGATTTCTTTATCAATTTACAACGTTTTATTAGTCAATCATCAAGAGTATGTGTTTTCCATACCCTTAATTAGATTCCATTAAGATGACTAATTTTTTACAGAAAAGAATTAAAATATACCCTTAAATATTTTTTTAAAATATTTTATTTGATTTTTATAAAAATAATAATTATGTTATTTTTGATCACGTATACCAAGAAATAAAACTTTTTATCTATATTTAATTATTGAACTCTGGAACCATTTCAAAAATTTAGAATATTGGTTGTATTATAGACAATAAAGCCATTGGCAATGAAATTCATTAAATAGTCATAACAATTAACACTGGACTAGAATTACTAATTTAATTTTCAGTTTCTATCGAACTCAAAAATAATTTAGTCATAGTATAATGTAAGTATAATGTGTAATTCGCTAGTAAATTAAATTTAAAAATTAAACACAAACACAATCAAAATGAAAATAATTAGCTATGTCTTGAATTTTAATTCAATATTGTTATTATCGTCATCTTGCAACCGGCCGATTAGGGGACACAATTAAATAAATTTACTAATTGTATAAATAGTAATAAAAAAATATTTATTTTAAGTTGAAGGTATTAAAATTTATGAGTTCTCTGTATGTCGATGAGAGCATAATAAAAATTTTGTTGGTATCTTAAATTCGATTTTCCATTTGTAATATGGGACATATGTACATATTGTCAATCATGTTGTAATATATGATACATTGTAAGTGTCAATCATAAGAGTTCACCGCATGGGTAAAATGAACTCTAAAAAAGTCATACAATTGTTGAAGTAAGAGAAAATAAGTGAAAATGTTGCCATAAATTTTAAATTTTGGAAATATTTGGAATCAACCATATAATTTTTGTAAACATGTTGTAATAAACTGACAATTTGAGGGCAGGCGAATCCAAAGATTTTATTGAAAATATTAAATTATTTCCATTAGTATTCGTTCATTGAAAATCCTCGGTAATATAGTGGTCAGCATTCCCCATGTGAAATTGATTTAAAAAATTTATTCTTATAATTTGATCTGCTACACTAATTGAGATCCAAGCGGAAATTACAAGCCAATTATATCTAAGAAAATTAAGTCCGATACTAAAGAAAACATAAAATTCAAAACTATTGCCTTTGAGTTTTTAAATATTCCTATTAATTTTTTTTTGTATACGTATCATATTTTATTTGTACGTTATTATCGCAACGTTTCGCGCGCTTTGCATATAAATAATTTGAATATAAAACAAATAACTCATATGGTTACACAGGTAACATTCATGCTGTGAAGTTTTCTAGCAGAAAACACAAAAAAAAAGTATAAAAACCTGAATATTCTAATTGGATTATGTCAGTATAACGTTATTGCTTTGTAACTATAAAAGTACGATTGCGTAATAAGATCATGGAATATAAATTTATTTTATTAATAATTGCAATTGTAATTGTTATTGCATTCGGTCATCCTCAGACAAGTGATTTACCAAGTGAAGCAAAACCTAAAAATAATTTAAAAGGAAAAATATCATTAATTGATAATGTTGGTACTGCAAGAAGATTGTTCCCTGGGGCAACTTTCACTAAACTAGATAAAAATTTAAGAAGCGGGAAAGGGAGCATTGTATATACTTTGGGTAGACGCTCTGGTGGTAAGCAAATTAATTAAAAAAATATATTTCTGAAAATTAATAAAGTTTTTATTTTAGGTGATCGAGTTGTTGCAACGGACAGTGATCGTGGTGAATGGGGTTCCGAGAAGGATATACAGGTTTTAATTGAATATCCAGCACGTGGACGTGGTGATATTGTTACATATGTTGCGGTTATTGTTGAACAAAGTTCAAATGTAGGTGATGCATATGTTGTTAGCGGTGGTATCGGACAAAGGAATATTGGTTTCATAATTGAAGCTAAAGGATCAAGTTATATTAATTATGATGCTTTTATTTATGGTAAACCCTGACAATCAGTTGAATCATTACTTGATAAATTAATCGATTCAATTTTTGAATTTTAATATTTATTTTCACTTTATTAGTATTTAAAAAAAATCATGTGATTTTATGTGTTAAAAGCTGGATACCAAATTAAAAAAAAAAATAATAATATTGTTTTTCATTGTAAATTAAGTAAAAATGTTGTGATTTTACAAAAACAAAATCTTTATTTTTCAAATATAGAATAAATCGTATCGGCTTAAATAAAAATCAACAAAATCCATAACACGTGGGGTTTCAATTCGTGTGATTTAACTGATAGTGAGAATTAAATGTGTTAAAAACTTACCTAGATTTTAATTACCTAGATTTTTTAAAAATAGTGACTAATGAAATACTTAAAATATTTAATTGAAAATATTCGACAAAATTTATTAAAAATTTTTATATTTTTTATGTAGAAATTCGTTGTGACGCTGAAGAAAATTGATTAATTTACTAATTTGCAGGTGAATAGAGCAATGTTTATTCTGAACCCGTTTCAAGATTGCTTCTGCCGGAACAAGGAATTCACAAATATTAGATGTGTTTTGATACCAATCGTTTTTTCGTTTTGTACCACGCTCATTTCAAAATTATGCAAGCCTTATAAACAGAGAAATAGCCGTTGCCATTTCATTGTTGAAGCAGCATAATTTTAAGTGCAATCGTTTACTTTAGTTTCAATACCTGAACGGCATTGAAATTATTTTTTTCTGAACATGTCTGTCATAGTCTAAGCTAAGCCTTTCTATATATTTTTTTGTCAGTTAAAAGCCTCTTAAAATTAAATATTGATCTATGCCTTTTACATTCCCGACCTCATAAACAGTTACCAGTTAATTTTAATGTTGAACAATTCACTCAATTATTCCCAGTAATTTTTCTTTAAACATAAAACTGTCGAAATTTTATTAATTGTCAAAAATTTATAAAAATTATTTCCAATAAAATTTTGACGATATTTCAGCTATAAAATTTAAAAAATTTTTAAAACTTTAATTTCTCTTACTTAATTACTAGGGTATTGCAAATAATTGCTTGATTCTCTGACTATTTCAACTGCAAAAACTTAAGTTAATATAGCGATTTTATCACAAGTCACTAAAATTGTTTTGCCAAAGTATTAACGCTTCAAATTACATAAATATCCAACTTTTCGCAAATTATTTGACTTATCTGAACACTCAAAAAAAAATATAAAAATTAACAATTTATTTTTTTACACAATTTATTTAAAAACTAAACAATATATTAATAATAAATATTTTTCTTATATATAAGACTCAAAAAGTGAATCAAAATAATTAAGATTTATAATCGAGACTCATAATAATGACAGCATAAAATTTTGACTAATATTACTCAAAGTATTCTCATATTGATTGCATTCATCAAAAATTTTCGATTTCAATTTTTCATATAAAAATTGCACCTTAATAACCATAACATTCAGCCAAATATGAAAAATACATTGTTTGTTCAGCTTTCACTTCAATTTTTATAAAATTTTCATCAATTCCCCCATCAATAATGTGTGCAGCACCTTCAGTACTACTTTGATCTACATAAATACGTATTTGAGTAATTCTGAATTGTTTTCCATTATCATCCGGGAATGACAGTGTGATTTCTTTGTTTGTTAGTGAGGGAAAAGTAAATTTTTCTTTTACTTCACCTTTCATCTTATCACCTGAAAAATAATGATAAAAAGTTTTATTAATTATTTATTGTTTATGAAGAAAAAATTTAAAGTATTTAAAAAATTATCATTTGATCGATGAAAGTATTTTTTTTTTTGAATTAATCTACTATAAGGAATTCTCAAGTACTTTAAAAATTCAATTAATTAAATTATATCCAATAAAATTAATTCCAATAATGAAATTGAAAATCTGATAAAAATATTTTTCGCAATAAATTTTAATTTCTCAAATATTTGTTCAATCTGAAAATTTCCAAAAGCTATAAATTGAGAATCAGACGTCATAAAATACGAACGTATATCTGAAATTTTTATTGTAAATATTTTCAATTTGTGGTTCAGTATAAAATTGAAGTATTTTGGTATTGATTGAAAAGTCCCAATAATCCTTAAACAAAAGCTCTGTAAAAAATTAATTGGTTTTATATTTAAATTAGGTGTCATAAATGTCGAGTGTTTACCACTACTCGGGAAATATTATATATGATTTCTACAGATCGTTATTTCCTTTTTTGTTGGAATTCATCATTCAAGAAAAATATTAAAATTGTAGGATTCATACAAATATACACAATACCTAATAAAATTTTTTGTGCGAATTTGGTTTTATTAAATTTCGATCTAACCGCAAAGGCCGAAATTAAATAAAAAGGGGGACCATAAAGGGAGCACCCCCATAAATTAGTTTTGTTTCAAAGGCAAAACAAATAAAATAAATATTAATATAATTGAGAAAATATGGGCAGTCTTGTCAGATTGAGCTTTTTAAAGCGATTTCCTGCTTTATTTTGCTATTTTCAGCTTCATATGCGATATTATATAACATATGATTCAGTAGACAATTAAATTGTATATAATTTAATTAACATTATTTGTAATGAAGATAACATCGTAACAAATACACGATCTTTATTAAAAACATTATCAGCAATATATTTTTGTAAAGTGCAGTTATATGTCTTCCGTCATAAATTTAAACTTATTTACGTTAAAAGTAAATTCAATTTTGAACTATATGATTGGATGAACTAAAATCCGGCAATACAGCCGGCAATTTTTAACCATTACTCGAAAGTATACCTAATTTTTGTTTCAAAAATAATATTCTATATTAAAATATGTCACTATTTTTGATAAAAAACGTGATTAAGAAGTGTGCTCCTTTCCGTTTTTAATTTTTTACAGACTGATTGAAATTTTTATTTAATGCGTTCGATTTGACTTGTCGCAATATTACAGTTAATGTGCGCGTTCACATCTAATTAACTATAATATTGCGAATGGTTCTACAATAAAGTAACAATTGCAAAACTAAAAATTGGATGTCTGCCCAGTAAACATTTTTCTTAACATTTTCTTTAATTAACAATTATTTTTCATATAAAAACTCTCATTTTCATATAAAAACGTCCTCTCGTTTTTTTTGCTCATCGCTAGGGGAAAATATCAAATTAAATTGAAGGACTCCCATTTTCTCAATCAGAATAGAATTCTCATTTCATATTTAATTTATAAATATTGACATTTTAATACTCCAAATTTCGGAAATTACCACTTCAGATTGTAATCATTTAGTAAAATTTAAATTTATTTCGCACTTAATCTCTTTAATTCTAAATTATCAAATCATAAAAATAATCAATTAAATTATATAATTAAAATATTAAGTATTCACCTGTAATTCGATTACCGAATTCATAAAATTTTTTCTCTCCATTGTCTAATATAAATTTGCTTGTTGAATTAAAATTTTGAAAATTAATTTTATTACTTTCAAAATTGTCAGTTTTTATTAATTTGAATGCTTCAATAGCACTTAAAAAATTACAAATTGCAAAAATTAAAATCACTTTAGATATTGAAATCATTTTTTTTTTTAAAGTTTCTCCGTTTCTTTTTATACTCTAAGCACCACTTAATTTACACTTATCTGTTGAGTTAGAATTAGAATTGCTCTAATTAATTTTGGTTTTGAACAATATTATGTCCAATTAATTGTATACGATTTCTTTATAATCTTCAAGTTTGAATCAAAAATTTATTTCGTAATATTTTTTAATTTTATTTTTAAACGATTTCAAAAGTCCAAGCTCCACTAAAAATATAAAGTTTATTTTTTTCATTACCGACTGTCTTGTTATTAATAATGAAAACTTAAAAGTTATACTCAGTATTTATACTTTTGTTAAGAAAGTTTTTCTTACAAATCACAAAATTGATAACTTATCAGTAAAATAATCAGTCGATTATCCGATAAATTATTTGACATACTTAGTTGTGATCGAATTGAATATGTACAAAAGGCAACTTAAAATAAATAATTTTCTACAGATTTTCTCAAATTGACATTTGCACCTGAAAATAATGGTGCAGATGGGTATATACTCCACTTCAAAAATTGTAGACTTTAGATAATTCAGATATGCATTTAAGGTTCTAAATTAAATCTTAAAAAACTTAACATACAATATTTTTGGAATATTTAAAAAACTTTGAGCATACTATGATTTTCGAACATGCTTCTTTAGAAGTGAAAATTTATCGAACAGACTTTATATTAAGATCTTAGTTTGAATTAAATTTTCGAAAAATCTCTATACGCAATCAATTTGAAAGGATTGATATTATTATTTTAAGAATGTTGTGAATTCAATTCGTAATATTCAACTTAAATCACAATTTTAAGAACTTCTTATTATAAATTTGTGAATTCTGGAACTTCACGAAAAATATTGAATATCTTAAACATATTCTCAAATTTCAAAAATATTATATCAGCCTATCAATTTAGGTAAGCCCGTTAGAGTATATTCGCATTCAAAATTTCCTACCCGCAGTAAAGGGTTACACTTAATACATCACGAGTTTCTTTTTTGATTTAATTTATCAAAAAAAATGGATTAAAATAACAATCGAAAGAATAATTTAAAATATTTGAATTAATCTGGGACTAATATAAATTATTAAAAAGCAAAATTTGATTATAAAAATATTTATGACCCCTTAGACGTATGTAGTTATTGGCAAAATATTACTTGGCTCCAATTATTTATTTAAACAAAAAGACAAAATTGCATAGTTTCAAAAACCAAAAAAATTTAAAAACGTCATAATTCTTTGAATACACCGTCATATTTAATGGAACGATGAACTATGAATCATAGTGCATAATATTCAACATAGTAATTCAATTTCGCAGTGTAAACTACAAAGTAGTAAATCTACTGTTCAACGCGTAACGAAATGAAATCAGTGTACGTAACGTGTGCGAATACATGCATATATGTATGAGTAGATCTATATACTGAATAAAGTTTTAAGGAGGCAGGCTTTAAGGAGATTGGAATCTTCCAGTAAATTATTTAAAAAAGAAAACTATTTCTATTATTTAGAAAAAAAAAATTCTAAATAAACCTTCTTTCAATTAAAATATTTCTTTTTTTTTGCACATTTTCACATATATCATTTGAACTAGATATAACCAATAACTGCGTTTATTCAATAAATCACAAGTTTTGCAAATTCTAGAAACGTCATAAGTTTATGTATAACATTATCAATATTTCTTACACATATAAATATTATTATGGTTTTTATTACTTAATACCAGTAATTAAAAATTAAAATAATTGTTTATTAATTAATAATTATCGTATTTAATAAAGTTTACAATATTCACACTTTTTAATAATTGAAAACAAAATATGAATCAGAATTTTAAATAATTTTTAAAACTACTTTATAAATTTTAATGCGGAATCTTTTTTATGAATTTGTAATTACGTTTTTTACATCAAAAACTGAAATTAACCCATAACTATACAAGAGTTTATATTTACTTTACAATCAATTTGACTCATTTTAATATACGTACACATAAATTATTGCAGAAGTTTTTTCAAAATTAATAAAACTAGCAAATCTGTCAAACATTTTTAAAGCTTAAAGCCACTCCAAATTTGGGAAGTACTTTTTTACAACTGAGTTCGATGCAGATAGAATTTGGTACATAATGTGTTTACATACATGCGTATTCGAATTTAAATTTAGAAATCATTTCAGCATTAACATGAGCTGCGAATCATGTAAATTTCTCATAGACATTATCCATAATTATAGAATTATATAAATAAATTATAAATTTTATCATAGTTTGAAATTTAATTTCAAATGTCAATTAATTATTCAATATCTCCAATTTTTTTAATTTTCTGACAGATATCCTTTGACGTAAACATTAACAATTCAATTAATATTTTAATGTTTTATTCTCTTGTTTTGTTATCTAAGAGCATGTTTTCAATTTCTTAGTGTTGTAAAGAAAAATATTATTATTGCATGTTATTAAACTAAAATTTAATCATGTTGAAAAATAATAAACGTTTCTATGATTTTGAGCAATTTTACTACACCAGCTGTAGATCAATATAAATTGGAAATTTTCTAAATTTAGATTATGAACTTTCAAGAATTGTAAAATTATTATTTTCAAGTGGGTAATTGATATTTTCGAAGTTTAGCTTTTTAAAATAGATCGGACGTAATTATCGTAAATTTTTATTTTCCGTTTTACTTTTATGAAAATAAATAAAATAATTAAAGTTTTTATCAATGAATTTGTAGTAAAATAGCAAAATGAAATAACTTTGTTATTATTTTTACCTCCATTGTTATGAAATTTACGATAACTTGAAAAAAAATTTATTGCTTGTGTAATTTGTTCTTTATTTTTTAATACAATTGAACACACATTGGAAGATGCAAATCGCTTAATGTATGCCTTATTTCGAACATTATTAGTCGTATCGTAAATAAACGATACGAATAATACACGGAGCAAAATGGAAGAGAAATTCAATACAAGCTCTTTTGAACTTTTTAAAATTCAGAAAAATTGAGTAAATGATACTCAATTTTTCCGAAAATCTGAACAAATAACCCAATTATACAATATGTTAAAGCTCACAAATCATTATTAATATGTATTCTATAAATATGTCAACTGCTTTAAAAACTACTGGAAATTCTGCTGCCTTAAAAATTCACATTATTATTTTGCGGAGTAAAATGTTGTCCCTACTATTTCTTTATAAAGGTTGGTTTAGTTAAGAGCCATAGTATACCGGCAATATTTAGATTTTAGTTAAGTATTACATTACATTAAAAGAACCGGAAAAATTTTTGAAAAATGATTCGTCTAATACATTGAGATAAGTTTAATAAATTACTTCAATAGAAAGACTTTAACAATACATGAAATACACATCGTGTTATATGGAATCGTAAAGTTATTCCATCGTCAACAATTGTATAACTTGAAAATTCTTAATTATACATACACTGAACACATGTAATTAAAGCATTTAGCCAATATTACTAAAATAAAATCGCAAATAACTCATTCCCATAAAAAAATAAGGAATTCAGAATATTTTTTGGTTTAAAATAAAATTGAATTTGTATAACAATACACAAAAATACTTAGTTTATACTTTCATAAATTTTAGAATTTCTACATTCCTTTCACTATTTTTAAAATTTTTTCCTCTTTCGAAGATTTTATTTTTGGTATCTCAAGTATTTTTAAGTTAATAAAATCCCTATTGAGTATACAAACACTTGTTAGTGTTATCAAATAATTGCAACATTGTTGCAAAAATTGCGGCGCAATATTTTAAGAAGATAAAAAGCGCCCATTTAATAGATCTATTATAAAAATATTAAGTGGAATTAAAAATTTAAGATAGATAGAATGTTGAAGATTTAAGAAGATATATTGAAATAATCAAATATTATAAATGAAGTTATACCTGACAAAAATAAGATAATATGTGTAATACGTTCTTTTTACGGGAATATAACAAAATGAAAATTCTGTTATATAAAAATAAAAACAAATCTATAAATTCAAATATTCAAGATTCCTACTGAAATAAATTTGAGTAACTATATATACTGCTTTTAACTAATGTTTTATAAAGCATGATATATATGCAAATGTTATACATTTAAGGAGTGTTACTTTTATGTTCTTAAAAAATAGGAGTCAATGTATGTATTAGAAAGCCTTACAATATGAGTAGCATTCGCTTTGTATTTAATCTCTTATTAAATTTTTAATTTCGTTCATATATTTTTGATCTGGTACATGACCTGAAATCCCTTCCAGTTGAAACTTTTTTCAATAATAACAATTAATTAATTTTGTTGTTTTGCACGCGACGCGACGATATTGACAATGCGACATCTTCATTAAAATATTGAGTCAAATTTTAATGTAGAATTAGTATTATTTAAGATTGTTCACATACTTTATCATCAAATGTAATTAAAATTACGACAAAAATGAGTTCAATGTTCAAATATTCATCCACAGCAATAAAATGCAATTTTACAAGTATTAAATGTGCATAGCGCAATAAAACAAATAATTTGAATCATATAATTTATATTTTTGTTATAATGTATACCTCAATTTAAAGTATAACACTTTATTTTTATACACATATAGTATATCGCAATTTATATGATTAATTTATTATTAATTTTACAATAAATACCGTAAAAGTAATTTTAATTATAGTTCGACAATATCTACTCATAAATTGTATAATCTATTTCACTTATAATTTCCGGAATTCCTAGTAACTTATCTCAAATAAAAGTATCTATAATATAAAACACCTAATATTATGTAAGGAGTCTACTTAATATATTCGTATACATAGAATGTATAAAGTTCAATTGTTTCTTATGGAATTTCTTTGTCACGATTTTTGTTTTCAATTCTAAACCTCTTTATAATTTCATTTAAAGTAATTCAAAGTAATTCCTTTTGACTATATCAGTTTACTACGTACTTGTTCGTACATATTTCATGTACTTGTATCTAGACTATTTTATATGTCTAAAACAAGTTATTAATCACTAAACTTACCGAATCACTAATAAAATAAAAAAATGTATAATATACTAAATACGAAAATCCAATACTTACTTGTAGAGTGTTTTATTATTATTTTTTTTTTTTTTGAATAATTGAAAACGACTGATAGCACACGATTATTAAGTTTAAATCATTTTAAATAGACAAGTTAGAATAATTTAATCGACGGTTTATCATGTGATTCTTTGAAAATTGAATTACGTTCAAGATTCTAAATTTTAATAAGAATTAATTGTTCAATATATATAGAAGAATTTTTTCGAAATATATATGAAAGTATTACCGAAATTGTTGAAAAAGTTATGAGCATCAGTTGAATGTAATTACGAATTTTATATAGCCCTAAGAAAGTTGAATTTTGTGTTAAAAATTTAAAAGAAACCTTTTAGTCAATATTGTTTTTCATATTTTTATCATTAATGTAAAATATATACATATTTGTCAACAAGAGTTAAAATTGCCAATCTAAGTATAGTTAAGCGTTATTTCGGACAAGCGCAACATATCAAATTTCTGGAAAATTACTTTGCTATGTAATTAAATTTTCTCTATATATAAATCCTAATGAAATTTTTGAGCAACTCCATAAATTAGAAATTAATACTTAGTAAGAGTACAATTTAGAAATAAATACTAAGAAACATGTTTAATGCAAAAATCAAAGACCATAATAAAGTTATCATATATCGTATTTCAATATCACCATTACACTGCATTGGATGTCTGATGAATATATGCGATTTTTGCGAAAATTGAATAAGTGTCATTTGTCCTAAATTTCATTGACGTTCTTCTCTCACAAACTCTTTCTTGAATGAGTGAAAAGTTTTTACAATCAACAATATTAAGTTAAAGCCCAGCTAAAACGCAATAATAGAAATAAGAAAAATTTCAATTTTTTATGCTTATTACAAATATATTTAATAATTTAATTACAATTTACTTTATCGTAAATCAATTTTCATATAATATTATAGTACTTGATATTATTATAGGTCTTGAGAATTTTTTAAGTACAATTATCTGAATTCTATTGTATATACGAAATTCTGTAAGAATGTAAGCGAATTAACAAAGCAGGTTGTTTTTGTCAGCATCAGCAGATACAAAAATTTACATATTTTAGTTCACGTTTTGCTTTTATTGTACAATGTATAATTACATACTAACATTTGCTAACATTATACGGCGGAAAATTTATACCAAATCAGTAAATTATTATGAATTTTATAAATTTAGTGAAGACAACAATCATATTCAAATCATATAAGTGAATACAAAAACCATTTAATTATGAATTTAAATTTACAATATTACCAACATAATAAAACAGAGAATTTTTTTTTAATAACAACAGAACAAAAATGCAAGCTTGGACATCTAGAGAGAGAAAGCATGACAATTTGACTTGTTGTTATAATATTATATAAAAGAGCTTTTTGATACCGGTCATCAAAAATAAAACAGAAGTGAAATAATAGAACAGATTTTATAAGTGCAAAAGAAAATATGGGATTATACTAAAGCAAAATTGAAAAAAATTAATTTAATTCTCTTATAATAACATATATTTACAGTCGAATACGGCTTAATTGCAGCACATATACATATAAACAAAACTTCTATTTAAAAATTCTATGTCCTATGAAAGTGTTTGTTTGCATACACAAATTTTTGTTTTGCAAAGTTTTAATAGATATAAAAAATATTGATATATTCAATATTGTAACTTCTTTCTTTTTTTCAATATTATTACCTATTGTTTTATTTTTAAATATGACACACCAGAAGCGATTGTGCTGCAAAAACAAATTCAAATTTTAGCAACATGATTAGCAACGATTCTCGTCATTACGATACTCAGCATTTTAATAAGAAAAGTTAAACAAGTTTAAAGAATCAAATAGTTACAATTATTATCTTCTCTTTTTATACCCTGCACTTCGTGAAGGGTATATTAACTTTGATATGGAGTTTGTAACTACTTGAAGGAGTCATCTGCGGTATGGACATTTATATATATTTTTACTTAGCGTAAAATTCTGCGTTTATTTAGACATGTCCGTCCGTCCGATCGCACGATAACTCAAAAACGCATAATGCAATCGACACCAAACTTTCACAAGTTGCTTCTTTTGTGCCAAGGACGAACCCAATTGTTATTGGACCAATTCGGACAACGGGTTCGGGTAGCTGGCATACAACTCAAAGAGTTTATTTTAATGATTTCAAAAACTAATAAAGGTACAAATATAAAATTTTGTATACATGTGTCCAATCATATTCTACATATGCTATAAAAATTTTAATGAGATAGCTGCACCGGTTCGGGTGGCTGCCATACAACTCCAAAAGCAAATTTTTTATATTCGGCAAAATAATAACGTCAGATTCATGAAACTTGGCAGTCGTGTGTCAAATTATAGGTCAAAGATATTTTTGAAGTTTTGGTGGAATTGTTTGACAGGTTCGAGTGGCTCCCATACAACTCCAAAAGCTAATTTTAAATATTTGGAAAAATAATAAAGTCAAATTCATGAAACTTGGCAGTAGTGTGTCCAATTATAGATCAGATATATTTGCGAAGATTTAGTGGAATTGCTTGGCAGGTTCGGGTACCTGCCATACAACTCCAAAAGCTAATTTTAAATATTTGGAAAAATAATAAAGACAGATTCATGAAACTTGGCAGTTGTGTGTCCAATTATACGAGTTATAGGTCAAAGACATTTCTGAAGTTTTGGTAGAATTGCTCGACAGGTTCGAGTGGCTCCCATACAAGTCCAAAAGCTTATTTTAAATATTTGGAAAAGTAATAAAGTTAGATTCATGAAACTTGGCAGTAGTGTGTCCAATTATAGATCAGATATATTAGGGAAGTTTTAGTGGAATTGTTTGGCAGGTTCGGGCGCCTGCTATACAACTCCAAAAGCTAATTTTAAATATTTGGAAAAATAATAAAGTCAGATTCATGAAACTTGGTAGTTGTGTGTTCAGTTATAGGTCAGACATATCCGTGAAGTTTCTATAGAATGGTTTCACAGATTTGCTATACAACAATGAAAGGTGCAGGGTATAATTCTATCGGTTCATACCGACTGAAACGTTTTTACTTGTTATTTTTTTCCTCCGTGGAAAAAGTGTTGAGATTGTGACAATCTAATATTTCATCTAATATTAAACACGTCGTTCTATATTGCCAAAATGAAATTGTCTCATTGAGAATAAGCTTATATGAAATAATTTATATGATAACATGTGATACAAATGCATACCGCATAATGTGGTTAGATACACTATGTAATATATGAATGCATGTTGACATGAAAGCGAGTAAATATGTAGCAAATCACTTAATATTTTAGTCTTATTTATTTTTCTTGAAAATATATTGCCAAAATAGTTTAATGAACAAATGTTTTATTAAAAGGGTAAGAATTAAAACAAACTGAAAGTTGTTATGACTTATACCTGATATGAATTCATTGATGACAGTGTAGTAGAAAACTAATAAAAATTTTATTTTGCAAATAAAAAGAGTGTAAATATAAATGTGCTCGACTGTACTTCAATATGTGTGCATTTTCCAATTACACTAGCACATTGTAATTAAAAAAATTGTAAAAGTATGAAGAATATACCTTCTTTTATAAGTTTTTCTCAAGCTCTTACTTTCTGATCTGTAAAGCCTTTTCAATTTCACTATACATTGTCTATTAAAATTACAACTGACTGACCCTGTCTAACCATTATATTGTCTTTTTCCTTTGATATTTGAATTTAAGTTGTACGTGACGTTCCCGCCAGTTTCCATTCACGTTTTAAACGGCAAGTAATTGCGTTTTTTTTTCGATTAATTTTCTATTTCTTTAAGTAAAGACATTCATAGTTTTTAAGACAGTTTTATTATTGTTGTAGAATATAAAAATTTTTAAAATTTATGCGATCTGTTCAAAAAGATCCTTCATACAGTTAATAATTTTACAAACTAATGCTTTTATCATAGAGCTAACTATATTCCTTTTTGATTAGCTCATTTAATTCAATTATAACCATAGAATGATGCTCTATAATTCAAGTAATATGTAGTTTTTGCAAAAATTGATATACATATACTTCTTTCACCTATACCTCCCGAAATAATAGTAGCATTTCCAAAACTTAGCTGATCAACTTCAATATAAACATATTTTACTATTGAACCAATACCAGATTTTGGATAGCAAATGTTTAAAATGACATTTATAACATCGTCATATTGGAAACTATCGGTTGCTTTAATAATCAAACTATCGTCTAAAATTATAGGAAAAAATAACTAAATAATTCGAATATGAAAATATAATCTGTAAAATATAATAGAATATTATTTATTAAATAAATTATTTATTGAAATTTTGAAAGAACATAGAACTGACAATAAATAGAAAATAAATAAAAATTTTAATTGAACGAACGCGTGTATGACGAGAAATTTTCAAATCTTTCAATAATGAAATGTAGTGTTAAGCTTAGTTCAAATATATTTGGCAAAAACTGTATAAAACTTACTAGAAGTTCGACGTCCGAATTTATATATTTCAGTTGATCGAACGTTTTTCTTTCCCAAATCCAAAGTTACATGATTATCTTCTGCTCTAACTGCATTATCCTCATCGACGGGTATGAATGTTTGCTCAACATTAAGTTGATCAACAGTATTCTTATTCAAATAACTATCTTCAGAATCAAATGTTATAATGAAAATTTTTCCATGTGCTTGTTGATTCGAAATCAAAATAATGAAACTTAAACAAGCAATTAATATTAGTTTTATGAACATTTGCATTTCGGATAAGAAGAAATTTTGCAATAATGCGATAAATTATGTGAAAGCGAACTGATCTTGTGAAACTTTCAAACAAAACTGGTTCTAACAATTTTTAAAATTATTGCAAACTAAAAATTTTTGGCTTCATATTTGATAAAATTTTGCATATTGTATGGAACGGTTTTTCGTACTGGCATATATATATACATATATATAGTGCGAATTAATGTAAACAATTTGAAACGAACAAACGAATTCTTTGTATTATTCTTCTAAAATACATAAACATATATGCATGCATGTATATGTTTTTTGTAACAAACAAAAGGGAAAGCGAAAAAAATAATATTGGGGGACAAATGAATTCTGCTTACAAATTAAATTTGTTTAAGTTTAATCAAACGCGTTGTAAGCACAAAGGGAAGCTATATGATGACATCAAATTTCGTATGTCAATTTTTCGACGGAAATGCGTTTTTCCATGCTACGGAATCCTAAGTAAACTAGTTTTCCATGGATGTTTGTTTGTCATTCTGTGTATCTTTGTTTGCAAATACGTGTATCTCAGTACAAATATACACAAAAGTCAGCATCTATGGTCAGTCACGAACAAATGTTCCACTAATAAAGCAGACAATAAAGACAAAGAGGTCTTTGCTTCAAAAAATTAAAGTCAAATTTCTTTAAAATCTCTCAATAAGCACTAAACTTGGATGTTGGTATAATAAACGGATATTGTTTCATGCATCTATACTCCAAATCGTTACCACAATGAAAATATTAAGATAAGGACAATTTAAAACGGAAAAATGATTATTTCGCATTTAAATGATTATTTTTTATTTAAAATAATTACGAGATAAGGTAATCTACTACAATTTATATTGCCTTATGTGTTAACCACATTTTCTCAAATTTAATATGAATTAATGCGGGTGGCTTCTGTTAAAAGAACCAATGTTTAGTGACTTAAATTATAGGTAAGTTGGCAAAGTAGTTCATTTAAATTTAATTATTATTTTCATGGGGAACAAAATGCTTACATTAACAATGTTACTTTTGTTGGCTCACAAGATATTTTTGCTTATATTTTGGCAATTTTCTGATTTGACGGGAAGTGTGGTCAGGGCTTTTATATTTCTTTTTAGAGAGACAAATATAAATTCGCTTGGGTTTATATTAATTCTTATACCAGATTTTTTTTTTTGTTAAAATTGGTTAACTGAGTAAGGGATTTGCTTCTTTTAAATAAAAGTTTTGGTCGCTTTGTTTGATTCGAATTCATTTAATAGACATTTTCATGCGACCAGACAAGTATGACGGAAAATTTGCATATACTCAAATTGATCATATTTACAGAATTTTCTACATATAAATAATTGGTTACTTCAACTGGTTATTCAGTTTCTTCTTATTTCAACAACACTTCCTCCATTAAATTATGCTTTTATTAAAATTAAAATTAAAAAAAAAAAATTGCTTTATTATCAAAGTAAAAAAAAAAGTATAACTAAATTTTTACAAAATTATTTTTGTTATTTTTCCATACTCTTCAATAAAAATAAAATTAAAATTATATTCAGTAGCCATAAAATGATGCTCTGTAACTTAAATAATTTGTTGAATTCGCTTCAACAGCAATACATATATGCCTTTGACCAATTCCTCCAGATATAACATAAGCTCGACCAATTTTTGATAGTTGATCAACAACAATTTCAATATATGTTACTATTGATCCAACACCTGAATTGGGGTAACATAATTTTAATACAACATTCATTAAACTGTTATAATGATAATTATTGGCCGATTGAGCGATCATTTTGTCAACTGAAATTAAAAAACAAAAATTATAAAAATTTAATTTTTAATAAAAAGATCAGAAATTTTTTTTTGGCAATCGAAAGCAAAACCAACTTAGAAGTAAATTTTATATTATGAATATTTTGTTATGTAACGCAATGGGCAATAGATTCCAGACATTCAATAGATTTTCCAATAATGCCGCAATCAATATAAATTTTAAAAGAGGAGTGCCAATTAGAAATCAATAATTTGTCTGGAAAACGTTTTCAATCGTTCAGAAAATTTTTATCGAAATCTACTTTTGGGAATTCAAGCTAAATTGTTGATTAAAGTAGGCATGATCTTAATTGTCAATGCGCGATAGTACTTGTAATTTTTATTTGAAATTTTTTACCAATGAAAATATGAACTCAAACAATATTTAATACCAATGTAATAATAAGAGAACTACGGTAGGCTAGTCACCTACCTAGCTAACTCTCTATGACTATAGAAACTAGGACATGATAGATATCATGAACTAGCCCTATGCTCCTTATAGGAGTGAAGAAGGAGAAAAAAAAAAAATAATAAGAGTAGCAAAACACTAACATAAAACTAATTAAAATTTGCCTATCAACCTAATTTGTAATAAGGAATCGTAGTAGCCAAACATCAAATTCTAAAATTGAATTTCACTTCAATGGTAAGACCACGGTATTCCTGTTCGCAAATAAAAATTTTATCAGAATTTTAATTCAAGTTATTAAATTTGCACATTATTGCTCACATACACTTTTATCTCTATTGATTATTTTATTATAATTTAATTACCATATTATTATTTAATTTTACCGACTTGCCGTTGTCAATAATAATATTGTAGCACTCATTTTATAAATACGAAATAAAATCAGGCAGTCTCAATATTTCTTAATTTTAATTAGTTTATTTCAAAAAGAAACACAAATTTACCAGAGCTGTGATGTCCTAGAGTATATCGAATTGTTTGTTGAACTTTTGTTTGATCCGGTATTGAATTTTTATTTCCATTACCATCTTCAATTGTTCTCTCTATAATATTAGTATTCGATTCACCTTCACCACCAATTTTTGGTGTTACCATATCAGATATTTGAATTATGTTGTCAGTGTCTTCAATTAAATTATCATTTTCAGAATCAAATGTTAAATTAATAACATTTCCATTTACAGTTCGCGAATTTAAAATACCAACAATTAAACAAAAAAATATTAATTGAGTATAGTATACCATATTAAATAAAATAAAAATAGAAACTATAAATCCAAAATTCGAATCTCAAAATTTTTGTGAATGTTGTCAATTAAACCCACTGAATTATTTCACGTCCAAATCCAAATTAAAGAACGATTGGCATTAAAAATTTTTCTTTACTTGAAATAAACTGAAAATTTAATTCTTATCTAAAATTATTGTTATTGATATTATATTGTTAATCTTATCGAAATTTGATGTCAGTATGTATATATGCACGTATCTATGTATAAAATATTGTAAGCATATCACAAATATTAGGGTGCGGGATATTGCAATTGAATAAAACAAATATTTGTTTTTATATATTTTTTACTTTTTTTTTTGCATTTACATATGGGAATTTTTTTTGTCAACAAAATTTTTCTAAACTGAGACCTTTGTTTCGACAGTTTTGATAATATAAAAATTCACTTTTAGAATGTCAATACATAAATATATGTATACAAGGTGTTTCACATAAGGTGGCAAATAATTTCAGGGATGATTCTTTGATCAATTTCCAGCAAAAAATTGTATGGGTGGGGGAGAAGGATGCAGATATACTCGTTTTCGAGCTACAGCCTGTTGAAAAAAAAGAACCAGATTTTTCCTGCATATATAAATAAATGCTTATAACTTTCTAATCATACAACATAGAGTAATCATTAGGAGCTTGTTTTACAGGCGATTGATTGTTCATTATTTTTGATCTTACAATTAATTTGATTTGAGACATAGTTTTCGAGATACAGCTCGTCAAATTCAGAATTTTTGTTTTTAAAATTTTTTTCACAAAACTTGAAATTTCTCGAAAATTTTTGTTATATTTTATTTCGATGCGCTACTATGAAATGTAAAATTTAACTCATATAACATTTTCCTCTATCTTTCATAGTTTTACCACTAAAACGTGTTAAATGTGTTTAAAAAACAAGCGAACTGTTTTATATAGCACGAACATATGTTTGAAAGGTATTATAAATTTGCTTACCGTTTGTAACTCTAAAAAACAACGGTTTAAGATTTGTATGTATGCTTTTGATGACAGTCGAATTCTGAGTCGATTTAACCGTGTATGTCTGTTCGTTCGTCCATCCGCCCCAACGATAACTCAAACACTAATTGAGCTAAACTGACTAAATTTTCACAAATGAAAATGCCTATTAAATTGGATGTGATTGAAATTTTTTAATTTATTGTGGTAACTAGGCCATATACAACTTCAATAGTTATTTGGTTATACTTTAGAAACTATTAAAATTATATTACCGAAATTAAGCACCATAATTTTTCTTTCTTGTTTCTTGACTAAACAGTCAAATACACCTCGATACGTTTAAATTAAAGACATAATCTGTCCCACAGCCAATAACAGTATACTTTTTCGTCCATAAAATAAATGCGACTATACGAAATTCAAGACTTTATAGCTTCAATAATGGAATTTTACCGAATAATTTTTAAACTTCAGCTACTCAAACAAAATGTACTTCGTTCGGATTAAAAATTATAAAGTATTTATTTGGAATAATTATTGTACTTATTTTGAAAAGATATAACAAGAAGCTTTTAGATCTCAAATTGATCAAAAGTAAGTGCATATGTACTCGTATTCTATTCGTCATCAAATATATAAATTCAAATATAATACAAATAGAATGTAAAATACAAAATCTTCTAAATATTTCAAAGACTTTTTTTTATTAACACACTAAATGATTTAAATCCACTCTAAGAAAATTACCAGCGACACCCTAAAAGTATGCTATAATTGTTGATACAATTATAATTAAAATAAATTTTTCGATATTTATTAAAATTATTTTATTTTTGAAATTTTATTCAATACAACCAGATCTAATAACTTTTATTTTAAACTATAAATTTTGAATTGGTTTTTTATTTGAAATTATTTAATATTTAATTATTTTATTAAATAAAAAATTCAGGAACCAATCAACGCTCTCGCTGGTGTAAAACAGTATCCGCCCATACCTCGCAACACGACCGCTCCTTATAGGACATTTCGCTCTAACAACCCTCTTCATTTAAGGCACGTTTTCGATTTCGCTACAACGGGAAAAAAAAAACTTTTTTCGTTGTTGATTTATCAACATATTGCCACTTTTGTGATCGCAAGTGCAATCTCACAATTTTGCACTCTTCTATTTTCTCTTGTTTACAAACAACATTAGATAATTTTTTTTAGTAACTTGTAAGTTATCATTTCTTCATTGTCTTTGGATTAAAGCCGTTTTTTAAGAAAATTATATATGTAGATATACAGTTATTTTAAGTAAGAAATAGTTGTTTCATTTTTGGATTTTAATTGGTCTTTGGAGTCTGTTATTTTTGTTGCACAAGGGTATGTAGTTGTTATGAATGTATTTTTGATAACAATAAAAATAAAAAAACAAAATGCATTTTGAATGATAAATCATATTACATATTTAGTGATTTTGAAACTGATCCCATTGAATTTGTATGAATTTGTATCAGAACAATATAGATTACTTCTACGACTTTTCGTTTTGCGGCAAATTTTTATGGAACGTATATAAGCCGTAAAGCGTAAGGTATGGATGTAATTTACGGGCAACCTCTTAGCTTGAATTAGGTTAAATTTATGTTGGCAAATCTTAAAACTTAATTCTACTTCTGTCAGCTCAATCTCAAGTTGGCGTTTCTAAAGCAGAACATTTAAAAACTGAAGGAATCGGCTCTACTCGTACTTTTAAAAACAGTTGAATCTTAACTGAATTTTAAAATATTAACTAACATTGATTTCTCCATCTTCACCTTATAATTATAACTTTTGAATTGTATTTTTAAATTATGCCAGTTTCTAATTCTTAGAGCATTAAATTTTATGCAGACTATATGAGAGTAGAAGTTCTTTAAACAAAAATATTTTGATTGGCTGATCTTACTTTGATCTTTTTCAGATCAAAGTAAGATCAGCCAACATGAACACAACCTTAGTTTCATAAATAACTAATGTAACTCGAATTTAGTAACAAGATATATTCAAATCTCAAGATAATCTCAAAATCAAATTTTCATATTTATATTTTATTACAAGTTTATCATAATGCACCTTAATAAATTATTTGTAAAATTTTGGGAAAAAGTACAATACATATGTGTAGTTTTATATTGCTTCACTTAAACCAATTCGTTTCGATTTTATGTAGCGTTAAAACAAATATTTTATTTTATACTATATACATATATGTATACGTTTATAAATTATAAAGACCATAGAATGACACTTTATAATTTAAATACGTAGTTGCATTAGCAACAAGACCAACACATATGTTTCTATGACCTATGCCACCTGATATAATGAAAGCATGTCCAATATCTGATAGTTGATCAACAACACCTACAACACTTGTTAATATAGAGCCAAAACCGAATTTTGGATAACAAAACTTTAAGATAATATTTCTTAAACCGTTATAATGAAAATTGTTGGATGATTCAGCAAGCAACTTGTCATCTAAAATGATAAAAAAATTACGATTTTTTTTTTAACGATAACAAAAAACTTACGATGAAAAAAACGATGTCCTAAAGTGTAGCGAATTTTGTGTTGAATATTTTTTTTACTAGAGATTTTTTCTTGATCTTCATCATCATTATTCTCAAATGAATTATTTTCATATTTTGATATAATTGGTTCATAAACTTCTATTTCATTGTCGCTTAATTCAATTAACTTACCATTTTCTGAATCAAATGTTAGACTAATAACATTTCCTTTAACAATTAAATTAAAAATCATACAAATTAAAATAATTTTATTATTTAGTTCAAGTAAGGACAGCATTTTTTTAATTTTTAATTTTAATAATTTTTCTTATGTATAAATTTCACAACTAAGTACTCCACAGTTTTAAAACTTACATGAGTGTTGTCATCACTAATGTGTAAAAAAAAAATTAAATTTATTAAAATTATGAAGAGAAAATGCATTGAGTGATGATTCTTTTATCTTATCATCATTAATATTCAATTGATTATCAATCAATTATCTGCAATTTCAATATAAATGCATTTTAATGTTATCAATGCCGGATCAAGTGTCTAATATAAAATAATTAATTTATGACAAATTGTATACCCCGAACTATAGATAAGAAATGGTTTAAGTAATTCAATTTAAAATTTTTCTTGTAATAATTGTGAATACAGTTAACATGTGCCAATGTTATTATCTTTCCATTTTCTGAATACACCAAAAACTAAAACAATCATATTTTTTTAAAAATAATCCGATTACGGCATTGTATTCAGGAATTTCATGTCTAAGCTGAATTTTGAAAGGATTCTTCCAATATTGAACTAAATAAATCCAATAATTTCATGAAGAGGATAAATGAATTGAATTTAATAATTTTTAGCACTTTTCCAAAAAAATTTAGAAAAAAAGTGCTTATTAGTTTCACTCTGTCCGTCCGTTCGTCCGTGTGTCTGTTTACAAAGCTTGTACACCCTTGAAGACAGAAAACTGAAATTTTATACGTACCTAGATCTTTACTAGACACTTATTTCTGTAGAAAAAAATTTTTACCTATCTCCCCCCCTCTAGAAGTTATACCCCCCCAAAACCCTAAAAATGCTACTTTTTAACTATTTATTGCAGTGAAACCATAAGCATTTTTCAAATTTTGAAAACGAGAAAGGCAGTGGATTGCTTCTCCTACCGTGGCATACTATAGTCAAACTTTAAAAAAACAAAATGGTCGTGTAAATTTACCGTTACCTAAAATCCGTTTTTTCCCAATTTTTGATGTCATTTTTCTTCTAGACCCCAGGTTGTAGGAGCCTTAAATTTAAGCAGCTATTAGACACTAATAAATACTTAATTTTGTTAGAAGAAAATTTTTTCCGTATCCACTCCCTCTCAAGTTATCGCCTCTTAAAATTTGTAAAATTTGAATATTTGGCACCATATATTAACAAAACCGCAAGCTTTTTCAAATTTCTATAAACGCAAAAAGCTAACGGTAAATTCTATGACATTAAAAAATATAATTATTTTCTTAACTCACGCAATTAACCCTTAAAATCGAGCATTATGTTAAGCCCACTTTATATTAATTTTTGCTTTATTTCAAAGACTGCATAAATCTTTCATCCTAAATATATGCAATCCTTGAAATAGTTTCGTATATGCATGAAAATAATTTTAAGTGTTGTAGGTATACATCGATTGTTTTGCAAAGCAGTATTTTCACTTGTTGAAGGGAAAAGTGGTACAATAAAAACCATTGGTTTAACCCAACTTTATTGGATTTAAATTCAAAGCTAAATGCAATGTTAATTAAAAGAGTAATAATATTAACAAATTTTCATCAAATTTAATTAGTTTTGATCTAAAAGTTTGCTCTTCACAAAATTTTCTATTGATCCATAAAAACTTCGAAACAAAAAAGCGCCATATTTCACCTATTGATTTTTTTGTTTTGGAGAAATTAAAATTCTTTTTAAAGAAAGACAATGATTTTTCTGTCTCTACATTGAGGTACGGTGAACTTTTCCTTTTATTACAGAAACCGGCTGAAAATTTTTTTCAAAAATTATTCTACTAGCTTTTCTAACAAAACGAGTTATCACCATTTTACAAAATTTGTTATCTCTTACATGCTGTTGTAATTGTAAATAAATTTTTTTTTTAACAAAATTTTTGATTTTAAATTTTGTATTAAATATTTTATAAAAATAAATGACAAAATAATCTACTATAAAAATCTGCAGTTACTCTATATTGTCTTGTACTGTTCATTTCAACTCCTAAACAAATTTGTTGTTTGGAACGTAAAAAATTTAATTCGCCAGAAATGATGGCAACATCGTTCATATTTGATCCTTGTTCAACCACTATTTTAATAGAATAAAGTGGGCATGTTACTTTTGCAATATTTTCTAATTTTGGATAGCATATTTGCATTTTTGTATCCATTTTTTGACTTGTATTAAAAGCTATTTGAATCTTTGACACCAGCATAGCTGAAATAAAAACAGAAATAAAAGTAAAATAAATATAGAAATTGAATTTAAATTTTATTAATAAAGAAATTGTCATTTTTAAATTTTAGAGAAAGATATGCTAAATCGACTAGTGTTGCCGTTGTCAAAAAAACCATAGATGACACTTTTTTGCATTATGCAACATTGATAGAAAAATAAAACACAGTTCAAAACAAATATTAGTGGTTTCAACAGTGAATCGAAAAAATTTCATTCCAAATTTAACTTAAAGTCAATTATAAAATTTAAAGTTACAAAATATATTTTGTTACCTAAATTGTAATTAAGGTGGGTCTAGGTCTTACTTTAAATTTATGTTGATTATCAACATTAATTTAAAATACTTACATTCCTCTGACACAATAGATCCAAAATTATATTCCGTGACTTGATTTACATACTTTAAATATGGATTGAAAGTTTTGTCTGTGGGAATCATTGTAATTTTCGATATTCCTGCTCTTTTCGATGATGACTCATAATATTCATGGATTTCAAAAGGATTCTGATCATTTTCAGTATTATAATCATTATTATCATAATAATTATCATCAATATTATTATCGTCAATATCATTATTATCGTCATAATCTTCATTTTCACTTGAGGATATTGTGTCAACGGAATTACAATCATTATCAGTATTCTCTATTGAATTGGAAATCTCAGTATTATCATCGTCAATATCATTATTATGAATAATAATACTATTATCATCATAATCATCTCCATTTTCACTTGAAGAAACTGTGTCAGCGAAATTATCAGTATTCTCTATTGAATTAAAAATATCATCTATATTAGCATTATTTAAAGTGTTTTCTGTAAGGGAATCATTATCAGTTGTGTCCCAATTGTTGGAAAATATGCGGCCTGTTTTATCATCATCGTCATTTTCAGTGTTGTCTTTTTTGTTAGAAATATCATCATCGTCACTTGTACCCCAGTTGATAGAAAATATTCGGCCAGTATTACCACCAGCGTCATTATCAGTATTGTCTTTTTTGTTAGTAATATCATCATCATCAACGGTTATACCCCAATTGTCGGAAAATATGCGTCCTGTTTTATCATCATCGTCATTTGCAGTATTGTCTTCTTTGTTAGAAATATCATCGTCACTTGTACCCCAGTTGATGGAAAATATTCGGCCAGTATTACCACCAGCGTCATTATTAGTATTGTCTTTTTTGTTAGTAATATCATCATCATCATCGGTTGTACCCCAATTGTCGGAAAATATGCGGCCTGTTTTATCATCATCATCATTTTCCGTATTGTCTTCTTTATTAGAAATATCATCATTATCATCAGTACCTCCATTATAGGAAAATATGTCAACAACATCGCCATCATCATCATTAGATCTATCATAGTTATCATTTCTGTTATCATAATCGTTTTCCTCATAACTACCATAAAAATCACTGTCATCATTAACATCGTTAGAAGGAAACGGATTATCGTAATCATAATTATAATCTGTATCATAATTGAATTTACTAAATGATAGTAAATTTCTACTAATAAAATCATTGTGATTTGACTTTATGAGGTCACACTTCACTACACACATAATATTAATTAGCAAAATAACATTAAAAGATTTCATATTCCCAATGGTTTTAAATTTAAAATTCTTTAAAACTCTTTAAAATTCACAATTTAAATTCACAAAAAAACATGAAAAGTGTCTTTTACATTCAAAATTTAATGTTCGACTAAACTGAAAGAGATTTTTTTTAACTTTAATCTCCTTTTTTTTTTATTAAGAGTTGTTAAAAGCCTATAAAGTTTTAATCAAATCAAAACGTATTATGTAATTGTAACATACACAAATTTTAACATACTGAAATATCCCCATTGTAGATAGAGTGTCATTGACTAGTGAAGAAACGTCAAGTTTACGTATTATGAATATCTTCCAAATACATGTCTATCAATTCTTTTTTAAATGAATTCGCGTTTGCAGTTCTGACTGCGAAAGATCTTATCAGTTAACACTGCACTGCAATAGAACTACTAAAGCAGCGCCTCTAATTAAAACTCTGATGTAATCTCATAATATCTCTCTATTGTCTCAATAATGAGTTCACTGCTAATTCAGATTGTGAATATAAAAGCAGGAAAATATTTTACGCTGCCGATTTGACAGAAAACCAGTTCTACTAACAAAAACTCATTGCTTTTTTCAGTAAATTACAAAAACGTGCTGCTATTGCAGATCTTTTTGTTACAACTGCAAACGCGAATTCAGCCATAGATTTTATGTACAAAATTATATTTTTTACGAAAAATCAGGGATTATAAGAATCCAGTTTTAATTGGAAGGTTTCTTCCGATTCCGAAAAAGTATCACAATTAAAATTTAAACATTCCGGAATTCTTCTCGAAATTATTTACTCCCTACTTTGAAATGATCATTGGCCTTAAATATCCCACAGTTCACAGATGTGAATATTATCTTATATAACGTGTTTAACATAAACACATGTAAATAAGAAACTGTTTTAAAAATTAAAAATAAACTCTTTTTTCCGTAATTTAAAAATTGAGTTATGAATCAATCTTATTCATTGATTTGAAATCCTTATCAATGTCAAACATTTACAACCAGATTATGTTGACCAGATAAGAAATTCACCTTTCCATATGTGTAAGAAAATATAAAAGTTGAAATTTTATCATCACACTATATTTTTTATCATCACACACATATAAAGAAGACACACTTGCTGAAGAAGCCGATAAATTCAATTATTTTTTACAATACTCACAATTTGACTTTTTCATATTTTCCTGTGTTATGAGGGAACTTTTCTTCCAAATTAATTTGTATTTGAACATTAAATATGAAATTATAAAATTTTCGAGGAAATAAAACTCAAATAGTTTCGTTTTGTGTTAAAGCAAATTTGTCTCTAACCTTAACCCTATTAAAAATATTGAAGGAATACGAACTCCTACGAACTCCCTCTTGACGTAACTTCCCTCGTGATGTAACTTATGTGTAGATGTGACAACAACTTGTTACAAGTGATGTAAGCAATCAGTTTTCCTTTAACTTTCCTTTATACTAAAAAGCAATGCTTTTAGAATCCTAAACAAAATTTGAGTCTCATGAATTCATAAATTTCAGTTTTGCAAATTTGGTCTACACCATTTTTTTTCTAAAAGCAGCTGTGATTATTAAAAAATTAGGAGCATACGCATGATTTTGATTTTCTTCTGATTAATTTTTCAGGTTTAGTTCCGGCCATCTCACTTTAGAATTGATGCCTGAGTTACGCTGCCTTAAAATTACAATTTTTTCTATTACTAGAATTAAGAGTATTTTATTGTTTTGTCTCTTTCAGGCTCATTTTTTTACGACAAAAAACTATAAAAGTAAATTAAATTGTCAGCAAAAGAAAAATTATTAAATCATTTAATAAAAATATCGCCTTTAATAAAATGCAAATAAAAGAAAAAAATTACTGAATTTTTTTAATTTCTATACTTAATTAAAGTAGTCACATATGAAATATCAGACAAAACGTGATTTTAAGTCGAAGTACTAAATAAATTTATTTACTCCCCCACACAAATTTTTCAGTTTTTAAAAAACAAAAAAAAATTTCATATTTATGTATACGTTAATGATCGTCATCTGCATGATGTCCTTTAATTTTTTGCTTATTCAGTATTCGCAAACCTTTTTTATGACTAGTTGGACACGGCTCTATCTATTTTTTACTGAAATTAACATTTTCAGATTATGAAAGTTATAGCTTTTATATTTAATTTTAAAATTATCGCCATCAAACCTATGTGGGAACATACCACAGTTTTGATATTCATGTTCTTACATACGATTCTCACCAAATTCCCCCATTACTCGAGAAGCGAATCACTATGTTATAGTAAAATCAATTGTAAAAATTTTTAAAACTTTTTTATAGACCCAAATTATTTGCACAAATTGGTTTGTGTTAACAATAACAATTCATGGTCTCCGGTGTTAACATATCATGGTCTCCGGGGGCCTGGCAGAAGAAATATATCGGGTGCCCCAATCCACAGATTGGAGTCAATTCGAAACGCTCCTCATGGATGGGATTAGATCCGTTCCTGCTTCTGTCAGAACGGTGATGGATATCGAACTGGCCAGCGAGGCCCTGACGGCGGCTATTACTAATGCCTATCACGGGAGCTGCCGTGCTAAGCCGAGGCGGAGCAATAGGAAGTGCCCGTGGTGGAATGAGGAGCTTTCAAGGCTTAGACTAAAGACCAGGAAGCTATTCAATAGGGCCAAAGCGTCAGGTTCGTGGGAAGAGTATAAGGACTCACTCACAAAATACAATAAAGAAATTAGGAAAGCGAAGAGAATCTCGTGGAGGGCGTTCTGCAAGGGCATTGATGAACTCCCCAGCAGTGCGCGTCTTCACAGGGTGCTTTCCAAAAAGTATGCTAGTAGGTTGGGCCTAATGGAACGTCCTGATGGCTCCATGACTGAGAACGGAAGGCAGACGTTGGAGCTTATGGCGTCAACGCACTTTCCTGACTCGGAGATTCTTCGGAATCACTCAAATGCAGTCATCGAACCGGGGGCACCCTGGCCCAGGAGGGATGACTGGCAACGATCCCGTCTAGTCTTCACGATGGGCAGGATTAGATGGGCTGTTTTCTCTTTCAGGCCCTTCAAATCTCCAGGTGATGACGGGATATATCCTGCATTTTTGCAGAGGGGTTTCCAACATATCGCTAGAGCACTGTTGGGAATTTTTCGCGCCAGCTATGCGTGGGGTTACATCCCTCAGCAATGGAGGGTGGCTAAAGTGACGTATATTCCGAAGGTGGGTAAGCGACCAAGCAACCACCCAAGGTCTTTCCGTCCAATCAGCCTTACTTCTTTTCTATTGAAAGCAATGGAAAAAGTGATTGATAGATTTATACGGGACGGTGCACTGGGAAGCAATCCCTTGCATGAATCTCAATACGCCTATCAGTCGGGAAGGTCTACTGTACTCGCTCTGCAGAGTCTGGTGGGGGTCCTTGAAAACTCACTGGAAGTGCGGGAGGTAGCAGTTGGCTGCTTCCTTGATATAGAGGGAGCTTTTGACAACACCCCATATCATGTCATCTGTGAGTCGTTGCACAAACGAGGGATTGATGCGACGACTAGCAGATGGGTCAATCGGATGCTACAGGATAGGATTATTAAGTCCACCATAGCTGACGATATACTCTTCATCTCCGCTGCAAAAGGATGTCCGCAGGGCGGGGTTCTTTCGCCCCTCCTGTGGTCCATTGTAGTGGATGATCTAATAGCTGCTCTCAGGGGCTCCGGGGCGCGTGTCTGGGGATACGCTGACGATGTGGCCTTCGTCGTGCGGGGAAAATTTGAGAGCACTATTTCTGATCTTCTACAGCAAAATTTACGTGTTGTGGAAAGGTGGTGCAAAGGCGTTGAGTTAAATATAAATCCAAGCAAGAGCACTTTGGTCGCCTTCACCAGACGCAGAAGCAGGGACAGATTAACGAGCCCAATTCTGTTTGGTGAACGTATTAGTTACTCGAGGGAGGTGAAGTATCTGGGGGTAACCCTGGATGATCGTCTCTCTTGGAATACCCATATCGATAGAGTTATCGGGAGAGCTACGGCGGCCTTGTGGACGTGTAGGAGCTTCATCGGGGGGACCTGGGGAATTAGTCCCAGAATAGCACTGTGGCTATATACGGCCCTTGCTAGGCCCATCGTCACCTATGCGTCGATTGTATGGTGCCGTAAAGCTCAGCAGGCGGGTGTGCGGGCCAAGCTAGAAAAGCTACAGAGGCTGGCCTGCCTGGGAGTGACCGGGGCGATGCGGACGGCTCCCACCGCTGCATTGGAGGTGATGATCGGATTGCCGCCACTGCACCTCCATATATTGAAGGAAGCTCGGCTGGTGACTTACCGACTTCTCTCTGGCGAGGACGGGGCAGGGCTAAAGTTGGCCCACAGAACTCACAGAGACTTCATTGAGGGCGATCCGATTCTAAGGATAACCATGTCAGATACCTGTCTGCCGCGGTACAACTTCGACCACAAGTACAGGGTTCTGTTTCCTGATCGATGGACGTGGGATCGGGGTGGTCCGGTACTTAGGTCGGGTTCGAGCGTGTGGTATGCGGACGGATCCAAAACGGAGTCGGGTGTGGGCTCGGGCGTATACGGTGTCCGCCCGGACACGCGTGTATATGCAACCCTTGACCCGTATTGCACAGTGTTCCAGGCCGAAATACATGCAATAGAGATCTGTCTGAGAATCAATTTGGAAAGGGGGTATAGAAACCGCACCATCTATGTGTTCTCAGACAGCAGGGCTGCACTGCTGGCGCTCCGTTCAGCTCAGGTTACATCCAAGCTGGTCTGGAGCTGCCTTGCTGCACTTATGGAATTGGCATCGGAAAACAGAGTGATGCTCATTTGGGTGCCGGGCCATAGTGGCCATGCGGGCAACGAAGTTGCCGATGAGTTGGCACGGAGGGGATCTGGGGCTGCCTTTGTGCAGCCGCTGCCTTTCTGTGGTCTGCCTTCTTCCGCCGTGGGGGCCAGGCTTGCCTGCCTACTCGCGGCGGAATGCAGTCGTCACTGGCGGGACACGAAAGGGTGCCGTCATGCGAAGGTGTTTGTTCCGGCGTGCTCCGGCGGATTC